GTTTTGCTGCGACTTGTTTCTGTTATGTTGTGGCTTGTTATCGTTGTGTAGTGGAGATTTCATTGTGTTGTGCACTACTGGTCCACCGTAGCAGAGGCATTAAGATAGGCCTAATATACTTGCAAAATTATAAAAGAATCTCAGCTCAAATCAGTTTTTTTGTCTACACATTGATTTATTTGTTTGGTGATTAGCGATGTAAAAATGTACAGTAAGCCAGTCATTATCAACTGGCTAGTGGCACAGATCTTGTGCGAGTCTGTGTATTGCATTATGGGTGTGCACTGCTTGCGGGATGTCTCAGTATTGTGTGTCGGATTCACAGGGGTCCTGTCTTAGTATGTTGACCTGCAGACTGTTTTGCTTGTGCAGATAACACTGCAGGAATGAAATCATATCCTTTGAGTAACATCTGGAAAGCTGCACCGCAGGACAGGGATCGCACCCTTCCGCTCACTTTCCTTACGCTGGAACAGACAATGCTGTTGTACAACCGTATCGGCCTGTGTCTGAGACCAGGGCCAAGGTTACAGTCCCTCAAAATGCTATAAAACAGTTTCCTCTGTTATTCTCATATCAATAGAGCCTCTTTTACACGCATGTGTTTTAATTGGTCAATTCATGCCTGCACAACAGTAGCTGATATGTTGTTGCAAAATGCTTTGATTTGCAAATCAATCTGTCGAAATAGCCGCTGAAAGGGTTTTGGGTTCACTTCGGTTGCCTGGTGGGAATCAGGGTTGCTATGTGTCAGTTGAGTTAGGGCTGATATCAGCAGGGGCTTCTGGGAAGCCTGTTGCTATGCAACTAGCTTATTGGGCTCCAGCTCAGAGCATAAAGAGCTACAATGGTCACAGAAGGAGGGACGTCTGTGGCCGGCCAAAGAATCCATTTATTATTACATACTTGCAAGAAACTGGACTGGGAGATTGGAGTGCACAGCTGACCTCATGCTTTAGCAGTCTTGAGAAACGGCTGCAAATGCAAGGAATCTATCTCTTATAGTCCAACAATAAATGAATGACAAAATAAAATGGGGAAAGAGTGAATGGTTATAGTGAAACATAAAATTTATGAAATTATTCTGTGTTTGATGAAAAAAGTTGATTAAGTATTTAAGGCTTAAAGAGACAAAAGAAATCTATAATTATTTTATTACCCTTTTGTGTTTGTGTGTGTGTGTGTGTGTGTGTGTGTAATATATGGAACACAA